ATTCCAATGACTCTCCCGCAACGCAACAGAAGAAGAAAGACTGGAAAGAAGCCAAATTTGTTGAGCTCATCTGGAGAGAAAACGGATTCGACATTACCATGGATGAGTCCTTAGTCAACTCTTGGATCAATCCTCACCGCAGACTGCTGGATGATGACTACAAACCCTATCTCACTTATGTTGAACCTCCATCTGACGGCTACTGGGATGTTCCAATCTCTCCCAATGCTAAATACTTCACTGTATTTGAGCCGTTTGACCGCAGCTTACCTGACCACAAGAGACTGCCCATGGAATTCGAAAGACTCAATCGATTCTATGCCAAACATGCTTCTTCAATTGAAAAAATCTGGTCTAATGATAGACCATCCGCAGTCAAGAACTACAAGCCCCAGAAATTCATGAAAGCTGACTTCATCCAATACACTCTTACAAGAAGGAATCAGGACTACGTCCGCACCCCAGCTGACTTCCCATGTATGAACCCTGAAGAAGTCTTTCTGATAGCAAAGGTGTTCCAAAACAAAACTGAAAAGCATCCGAAGATGAAGATAACATTTGAAAGGGCAAGCATTTTTCTAAGGGAAACTGTCTGTGACTTCGCAAAGATTGATGCAGACATTCACCCTGTCCTAGCCAAAAAGTTTGATCTACCACCACTTGACCCCGCACCGATGATTTCTGAAGGATTTCAAGAAAGATCCCTAGGTGCAACAAACTTCCGAGATCTTGGAGTCATCTTTAAGCGAAAACTTAATGAAACCAAATATTTCATTCCGATGACTGCCATGAATCGTCTCACAAGGAAGCCGATTGAAGTTTGTCGAACTGCAGTTCAAAAGTCAAAACACACAACTGCCAAAGTCAAGTTCGAAATTTTAAGAAGGATCACTTGGTTGGAAAATGTCAGGAAGTTTTGGTGGATACTGATCAAGTTTCTAAAACTTGATAACTGAAATAAAGTTAAAGAGGTCACTTAGGGGGAAATTGTTGAATCATAAAAGTGACCCTCTTGAACTTTGATCTACCGCAATCAACAAAGAACCGCAGTCAGCAATCCCATCCGAAGTCATCATTCATCCACAGTCTCACTATCTAGTTTCTTAGTTTAACTTTTTATCTACTTAGTTAGAATACTCTCTATTGTCCAGTATGCCTTGCATGGCTACTCTTATAGATTTGATCCAATGTAATTCTTGAGTCTCTATAAATAGAGCTCAACCTTTCTTATTCAATACAATTTGATTACGCATCTTAAATCTCCTTTCTTATGTCTTTACTCTCTTTCTTACTCTTAAAGTTTACTTGAATATAACTGAGTATTATCTCTCTTCGGAGCAAGTCTTACTAACTTGGTCTGAATGCATTCCTTGTTAAGAATCAACTTATGTGTATACTTGATATAACAACTACTGTCATTTACATTTCCTTACATTTCCGCAACTAACTCTCTAACTATCTAACTCTTTAACTTATTATTATTGTTGAGCATTTAGATCCTTCGAGATAAACTATTCTGCAACTTTACTTGTTCTAACGTTTGTTCAAGTGTGTCTCAAGTTTTTCTCTCAACAGGGAGGTTCACCGGTTAATGCCTGTCCGACCCTTCTTGAAACCACAATCTAAACAGCAACAGAGAAAACTTTCAATGGCTGATGCTCAACCTGAAAATTCCCAATTCTGCTATCAAGCACCGAAATGACACGATTTACATGCTGGGGAGTTTTACCGAACTCCCAACTCACACAAACCTCAAACCAATCACCCACTTGGGTTGTCTTCCTTTCTGACAACGATGCGAAACTTATCCCACTTTCAAAACCGCTCCTGCTTTTGAATCTCATGATAACTCTCCCCCATTTAGAACACTAACCACACCCACTGGAGTGGAACCCGACGTAACTTAGCCGATAGCCCCCGATGCTTGAATGATCCCACACCAAAATCTTGAAGTCCAAAGATAGATGCTCTACTAATACTTTAGCAACAAGCTATTTCCCTTGGCGATCTCATAAGCCAATCAATAACGATTACTAAAAACTACTGAATCCTGATAATGTCGAATAACTATCCCATGAGACTCTGTCCGCTACCTCCCATTTAATACCCTTCTTCCCAAGTGCTCCAAACAAATCTCTCACTCTCGGGCTCTAGAAACCATATCATTTAGGGTCTCGCACCCTGACTCACTCACCAGCTCGATCATCCACAGTTGAACTGCAGTAGCTGAAGCAACCTCTGCCCTATACCGGACTACAAAACTGCCCCCAAGACATAGTCTCCATTCCCAAAAGTCTAATAGGTTGTACAATTAATCCTTACCTCCCGATAAGAGATCCAAGGTGAACCGGACCTCACAACATACTTATGTCGCATTAACCCACCCGCGCTGACCAGCACTGAACTACTGTCGCCAATCCCGACGACTAACTGACCCCGATCTGGAAATACAACCTGCTCTCGGGCCACAAACCTGCTCAATCCTTCGAGCTCGTAAACTGAAAGGGCACAATCCTTGCCCTAGAAAACGACATTCATATCCTATCAATTAACCGTTCTACCTCTAGCTTCAAAACCCCAGCTGAACATAATCAACATTCCTTTCCGGTGTCCCCGCGACTCACACTCCAGCCTCGAATAAAACCCCCGAAGCCTCAAATCCAGAAACTCATGTGCTAGCCTCTCCTGCTCAACCGCGGAATGTAACAAGTACAGAACATCTCCCTGATCCGAAGTAACTGCAGCCCTCTGCTCGTCAGAATATGTCCCAGTAACAAGTCCCGGTATTGAAAAGCTCGACCAGCTCTTCTCCTTGCCGTCGTTACAGCTGATATAGTTGCCGCGGCAACCGTCTCGGCGAATGGCTGTATAGCGCTCGTCGAAATACTTAACCATGGCGGTCTTAATAGACCGAAACATCCCCGGAAACTGTCCCCAGACAAACTCGATCACCTCCTCCCGGATGATCTCACTGACACGGTCCTCTGACAATGCTGGCCTATCCTGGCTGCCAGCTCCCGATCCTAACCTGGATCCGATATCAAGACGTCTCGTAACCACCATTCTGGTAAAACACCAGAAGGATCACTGATAACCCATATAGAGACAGGGAACCAACTCCCAACCCAACCCTAGGGGTTGTGACTTCCTTGCTACGCGTATGGGTCCTGTGCTTTCAGTAGTATGGGCCCCTACTACCTTCCATACCTACCCATATTTGTCCCAAGTATCACCACAAACTCCCTAACACTATACATATGGTCGCTCAACCTCACTCCTAGAGGGAGGCTAACTGTCTCACAACTGACCTACCGGTCTCACACAACCCACCCATCCATGAAACTTCCACCAACCCTGCAGTACTAGTGTATGCTAGCCATACATAACGTTGGACCCTATAGACTTTCGAATATCCAATCCTACCCTAAGCTCCCAATCAAACAAGAACAAGACATAAGGCCAAATCAAACATTCTCAGGCTATAAGGTCTTAATTATGTATAACCGTGATGCATGCACTAAGCAACTACAGTAATGATGTCAATCTCATATAAAGGAAACCCTAGGCTAGCAGGCATCATGTAATCAGACAATTCTATCATGCAATTCCTGAAGATCCCTAGCCTAGCACTAACATGTTGTTCTAACATATCACATAATCAAATAATGTATGGTATTTTGGGGTCTACTTACTGGCTCCAGCTGATCGTACACTCTGCATCCTCCTTTACTTATTTTGAAAACCATTTTAGAATCATTTTGAAAATCCTTTCTTTGATTTGAGACTGGAGTTACACGAATGTTCCCCCAATTCACTCAAACCAAGGTTCTGATATCAACTTGTAACACCCGAAAAATTCAAGCCAATTTAAACTTTTAAAAACATTTCTTACAAACTTGTTTTCAAAATGTATCATAATAGAGTATCCCAGAAACAAGTCATAAAAAGTGAGGAGCTGTACGATCACGCCTTTGCCTTGCCACAATCCCCTGATGTACCTGAAACAATAAACTGAAACTGTAAGCCAGAAAGCTTAGTGAGTTACCCCCAAAATACTGATACACATACATTCCACATAACCATGTCAGCAACATCATAACATAACAAACTGAACAGCATGTAATAAGTCCACAACTTTACAGACTGGATTACCCCTGGGCCCACAGTGTGAGTTTGGATTGCCTATAGGGCCCACAACTCACATCTGGATTGCCATCGAGCCCACGGTACGAGTCTCCCTCAGCTCGTATATGGAATGCTCCACCTGCTAGATTTCCACTGGGCCTACAGTGTGAGTCTGGATTGCCTTCCGAGCCCACAACTCACATTTAGATTTCCATCGAGTCCACAGTACGAGTCTCCTTTAGCCCGTATCTGGAATGCTCCCGGGTTTGTTGGTTACCGAACGGAGCAGTATCACCTCAACCCATCCCACATAACATATCAACATATAACATAACTACTGAGCATGCAGATATTCATATAACAACACAGGTAGTCCTAAAGATCTACCTAACTGGCATAACCACTAGCATGCACCACTAATTCATACTCAACATAACCACTGCTAGGATAACATATCTAATGGGTCGGCCTTGGTGCCTTAAACCCCTTAGTATAGTGAGGATAACTCACCAAGCATTGCTGAAGTCCCGCAGATAAAACTCCAGCTGCTGGTTGACAGATTCCCGAACCAAACGGACATCTTGAGGCAGCAGCATCGGCGGTTGTGATGACAGCCACCACCTCATGGTGGTGGCGAGTTTCCTTGAATCCCCATCAAGCAACACTCGTCCATGGAACACCAAACGCCGCGAACTCGACACTGAATGCACTCCGATCTCAGCCAATCTCGTGGCGGCTTCTGGCAGTCGGGGGTAATGGTAGCACACGCGAGCACCCGACGGTAGCAGTGGCAGACGGACGCAACCACACTAGCTGCAACCGTGGCGGCTAAATGCGATAACAGTAGTGGCAGAACGCAAGAATAGGAGAGAGAGATGGTGGCATCGACTATGTTCGTGGTTTCTCCGATCAATAAAGCAGCGGCGCGTTCGGCGATCTTGGTCTTCAACTGTGGAGGTCGCACCTCCACCGGAAACGACCACAGCGACTATCGTTCCCGGTTCACCTGTCGGTCTTCGGTATCTCCACCCATGGCAGACGTCGTTGGCGGTCTTGGTTGGTCGGAACAACAAGCGAGTCGGGTGGAAAACATGGCGGCAGTCGGTCGATGGAGGAGGGAGAGGGTGGCGGCTGGATGGTGAAGAGGAAGTGGGGGTGGCGCCGAAAGAAGAGATTAGGGTTAGGGTTACATGGGGGCATCGGGTCTTAAATCCGCCTCCATGCAAACTTATAGCGAAATTGGCAGAAATGGTCCCTCCCATTCCAATCTCTTCAAACAAGGCCCAATAATTACCATTTAAACCGTGACTCCTTAAAATCCTTTCAACTTTGATCCAATATTTTACCAAATGGCCCCTGTATGACAATTTCTTTTCAGCTTAGGTACATAATTTACCCTTTTTGCCCCAGCCATCTAAAAACCTGTCATTTTAAGTCCGATATTTACTCTTAAATCCTTGTTTCCATAAATTCTTTCACATTAAGCCCAAATGATACTAAACACCCCCTGACCACTGAAAATCTTTGCAAAATAAATCCCAAAATTACACTTTAACCCCCAAAACTCTAAATTATGACATTTGGCTACAGAATAATAACAAATTTACATTTTGGGGTTCCAGATTTATTATTTACTTATTTTATTTTAAATGGGATGTTACATACTCAAGTGACACCCCTCAATCCAACAAAATTGGTGGTCTACTCCTTGTATGGTGAACGGCTGTGTAACAACAATTGGAAATAAAGACATTTTATGACATTGAATTCTATAAGTTTTAATGGATTACAATACTAGTTGTGAGACCCATGTATTACATGTGTTAATTTAAAAAAAAAAGTTAAATATAAGGTTAAAGTATTTGAGAACTTCGAATTTATAAGAAAATAAGAAAAATAATAAATTATTATAATGAAAATGTTTTTTATCTTTTTTATTTAAACAAATAATTTAAATAAATAAAAAAAATCAAGAAGTTTTAATTTTGAGAATTTTGAAATTAAAAAGTAAGTTCATTAATGAAATTGATATCTATTTATTATTACCTTTATTGCAATTATTATATTAAAATATATGTGAAACTTAATAAATTAATTAGAAAAACTCATAAAATGACATGTGAAAAAAAGAATAATTCAAAATATCTACAAAATGACATTTGACAAATTGAATGAGTATGACAAGTGGCAAAAAAACCTTCATTTATTAATAAACAATTTCATTTTTATATAACTTTACCATTTAATTTCTACAATAATTTGTAGAAAGTTTAATGGAATATATTTAAAAAAAGTAAGTCTTTTTGTTAGGTTCGAATACCATTGATATCTAAAGACAAAACTGCAAATTTGGTCCTTGTGGTTTTCAAAAACCTTTGGATGGGGTCCAAAAAGTTTCCAACTTGTATAGAAGGTCCAAAATCAAGGTTTTTCTGGGTTTTTGGTCCAAAAGAACTTAAATAGACGATTATGCCCTTTTATTTTCTTTTTTGTATTTTTTATAATTATTCTAATGCTGTTTTAATTAAAAAATAAAGAAAAAAGAAAAAAACTGTCCCCACCCCACCCACTTTTCTCTCTCTCTATCTCTCTCTCTCTCTCTCTCTCTCTCTCTCTCTCTCTCTTCGTCTTCTCAAAAATCTCATGGTCTTCATCTTTGATATCCCCAAATTGATGAACAAAAGCCAAAATCAAGCAATAGAAAGAAATTGAAACCCAAACACACAGACACACATTCTAACGCAAAGCACCCACATCGATCGGAAACAATCTCATCACAGTGAGTGTATTGTCTCGATCGGACGAAGCAAATAAGAGGGGGAAGGCAATCACCTTCAAATTAGAGTGGTGGCTGGACAGAGAGGGTCGACGGAAGCAGCATTCGGAGGTGGCGATGGTTCACAGCAGTGGCAGCAACGAGGCGGTGGTCGGTGTCGGGTGGCTAGCGATAGCAGCTCTGCTGCCTCATTCCCTTTGCGTCTGGCAGCACACGACGAGGAATACGAGGGAGGAGGGGAGAGTTTGGTGGTGGTCAAAAACTGTGGTGGTAGGAGGGTAATGACGACCACAAGAAGTGGCGGCCGTGGGTGGCAGAGGTTGCTCCGACAGCCTCTTGCTGTTGTGTCCAGGTTTCTGCTTGACGAGAATGACGAGAGGCGTATATGGGAAGGTGACAGGGGGTCGGAGTAGGGCAGGAGATACAAAGGAGGGGGTGTTTGGGTTGTTGTCTTGGTGGTCGGGAAAACGGCTCCACCTCCGGTGGATTTTCTTGGCCGTGAATGAAGAAGAAGGAGGAAGGGTAGTATTTGTATGGTAAGATGCAAACCAAAGGGGGAAGAGATGGTATCAGAGAGAGGAGAGAGAGAGAGGAGGAGAGGAGAGAGAGAGGAGAGGGGAGAGATGAGAGAGAGAGAGAGAGAGGAGAGGAGAAGAGAGAGAGAGAGAGAGAGAGGAGGAGAGGAGAGCGAGAGCAGAGAGAAGAGAGAGGAGAGAGAGAGAGGGAGCGAGAGAGAGAGAGAGGAGGAGAGAGAGGAGAGAGAGAGAGAGAGAGATTTTAGTTTTTTTTTTAATTATTTAAATACCAAAATAAATAAAGAAAATATAAAAATAAAATGAAAAGGGAAAAATCGTATTTTCAAGTGTATCAGGGACCAAAAACCTAGAAAAACTTTGATTTTAGATCTTCGATGCAAGTTGGAAACTTTTTGGACCTCATCCAAAGGTTTTTGAAAACCACGGGGACTAAATTTGCAGTTTTGTCAAATCTAAACTTCATTCAATGACAAATTCACATCACACTAGCTATGATTGTTTTTAACCAACTGAATTACAATTATTCCTTCTATATTATTCTAACTATTTTATCAAAGGGAAGTGATTCGTACACAACAGTTTTTTGTTATACACAACAATTTATGCATTATACAGTTGTACTGTACAACATTTTAAAGCACCAATTGTTAGTATGGAGAAAAATTGTTGTGTACAAATCATCTATCTTTATCAAAACATACGTTATCAAATATCAAACTTTACTTTTAATTAATATTAGTAACGTTTTTCTTTTTACGAAAAAAAAAACATCGATTATGGACCTTTGAATTGGCACATATATCAAGTAAAATAGTTTATATATTAATTAATTAAATAACATCAAAAATTAAAGGAATACCAAAACCCATGTAAAATACGACAAGAAAATAACCTACCATCTTTTACTATCTAATCATTTTAAAGCACTAGAAGAAGATGAGGCACTGAAGCATTGTTGGCAAGTTCACTCTGCCACACGTTCTTACATTTAGGAGATCTTGGTGAAGCCAAAAAGACATTGCTAGACTTTATGTAAGAGAAGACAGTAAGAGAAGTGTTCAAATACTCCTTGACTTGTGTTATAATCTTCCCATTCTCCACCGTCCATGCATGCACCCAACAGGTTCTTCGGTTGTCATAAAGGTGGTAGCCCTCTGCAACCACTATCGAACCAAGACCAACAACAACAACAGCCTTAAAAGAGTCGGTGTCCTCGATAACACAACTTCCAGTGAGCAACTGCATAAGGTTGTACTTATGAGCGGGTGGCCCATGGAACCACCAATCGATATCTGGAGCTAGGAGACGGTGCATACTTTTGGTGTCACGAGCAGCCAATGCCTTGTACAGGTCACACACAATCTTCTTGTTCTTCTGTCCTTCCATTTTTTTATTCGGATCGAAGAAGGAATTTTGTGTTTATATAAAGAGTTTGGAGACCAACAAAAAGGACAAATTAAGTCTCAAGTCCACTTTGCAATTTGTGTTGTTTGTTATATTGTAAGAATTAAGATAATATTATTTATGTGCCGTAGAATCAATTCAAAACCTTAAAAAATAATAAACTATGTACGACCAAAAAAGACAAATCTCCGGTCCGTTTATTTATTCAATGTTATGTAATAACTGTAAGAAATACGAAGAAATAAAATCAAGTCCAAGCCAAAAAAAATTATACAAAAAAAATAAACAAATAAAAAAAATTCTATTGTTCTTCCCTTTTTATATAGATCTGTCACAGGTTCACATTGGACTCAAGAACGATCAAACCCACATGACCTAATAGATTTAAAAACCCATAAACAAGATGATGAACTTTGTCCAAAGTCCAAACACAACAAGTTACTCACTGAATCTGTGCAAGCATACATATATATTGCGTTTTTTGTCCTTGTTTATAACGTTTATGTATGCATATCTGATATCTCATAGGTCCAAACACAAGAAGTTACTCACATGGATAACTAGTACTACCTAAATTAGTTTCCATCACTACAAAAAATGCCTATTAGTGACCGAAACGAAAAGGTCACTAACAATAGAACAAGTCGTCATAAATGATTTAGTGACCAAAATTCTGGTTGTCACTTTTCGTCACTATAGGTCCGTCACAAAAGCAATTTAGTCACCAAAATAAAATATGGTCACTAAATAGTGACTAAAATATACTCGTCACTAAATCCATGACGACACTTTTCGTCATTAAATGTTGTCACTAATCAATGAAAGTCGTCACTATTTATTTACTCAATGAAAATCGTCACTGTTTTATCCGATTAGTGACCATAGAAAGTCGCCACGGGTTTATCCGATTAGTGACTGTAACAGGTCGTTAGTAATTTATCCAATTAGACAAATAAGGGGGTTAATATTTAAGGAATTATTGAAATATTAAATGTCGATTCTAATATGAAATATAATAATATACAATTTGACAAAATAAAATGAAAATACACTAAATCTTTACAATACAACAACAATAACCAAATAAATCTTCACATTTATAATATGAAATATTAAATGTCATTTTTAGAAAACAAAATCCATACACTTTATCCAATATTTCAAAAAACAAACATAAATATCAATACGGATTAAAAGTAAATTCAATTGAATTTTCTTCCAGATAATGTGGAGCGAGTTTTAGGAGTGTGCTCCATAAAGTTCCAACCTACCTGCATAAGAGCATAAAAATGGATTAATCATGGAAGAACATCAGAAATGTTTATCTTTCTGAGTTGATCGGGACACAAAACTACTTTTCCATGAAAGCGATGGACAAAACTGCCCTCGCAAGCAGGACTAAGCTCTTGAGGGCACAAACTGAAAAAGAAATCCTGCAATCTCCTAAAATGAATCTTGCTGCATTTTCAGTCCCTATTTTACTACTTCTTAACATTTTTCGCATCGTAAAAATTACCAGTCATTTTGTTAAATCAAGAATAAAATTACCATTTTACCCTTATCTTCTTCATAAAAACTGAAATCAAACCTAAATACGAATCCAAAATCTAATGATATCAAAACTAATAATTAACAAATTATTAGCCACCAACCTACTACATGCGAACACCAAAATATTCAAAAATCGGATGGGGCTGGCAACATAATTTTTTATTAAAATATATATGAGGTCAAAATGGTCATTTTCATAAAATTAACGAAATGGTTGTTTACATGGCCAATTCATGGCAAAAAAAAGTTCAGAAACAGTAAATAGGAATGCAAAATGCAAGAAGACTTTTTTTGAACCATATCAAAAAAAAAAGTGATAGAGTAGAGGGGCCAAAACTATAAATTTTAGAGTTTATTTAGAGATAGCTTACCCAAATAAGTTGTTTTCGGATATTTGTGCCAATTTCAATTTGATTGATGAAGGATACCAATGCCTTAAGGTACCTCCCAAGAGTTATTGCTATTGGGAACAAGATCTTCGAGGCACAATGAGAACTGCATTTATGTGTAACAAGCTATTGATTAACTTTAAGTATAAGATTATAGATAGAATTTTATATGTAGTCATCATTGAGATGAAAAAAATGAAATCAAACTAATACATACTTATTATTATCTTTTTATCATACAAACAAAAGGCTACCTTTTCACTAGAGACAATCTTCTTTCGACTGTTGCAACTCTGAAGATGCTAAAAGAACAAATACATAAATGGATTAGTGAATAAATGTGTTTAATCATACATCATCAGGGTATGAAGAAAGAAGATAAAAAAATGAAATCAAACTAAAGATCAAATAAATACATACTTATATTGTAGATAAATTGCATTAATAAGAAAAGGGAAGTACATTGTTGTTATTCTAATCTTGAAAACATCACAAAGGTTGAACTTTTGTTCTGCACTTGAAAAATAGCAAAAAGGCTGAACTTTTATATTGAACTTTTATTATTTTCCTACCATTTTATTTATGTCTTCCATTGCACATGTTTAAGTAATTATTATGAACAAAAATATTCTTATCATATTCCCTCATTTTGTTGGACAATTGATTCATTATCCGTTTTAGCATAAAAATATAAATACATGTACTAAGAACGGACTCTTGTCCTTGTTGTACTTGCATTTGTACATGTTTTTTAAGTTATATCGTGCAATGTAATGGTCAGGAATCCACCACTTCCATGGGACATTACCTCCTAGTAGGGATAGTTGATCCATATTCAAATCAATAGTTAGATTTAAATGTGGCTCTTGTTCTTGGTGTACTTCTTCCATAATTACATGAACATCATATAATACACAAGGGGCACTACTTTAAACCACATACCAATTTTTGCCCAATTTTAAATCAGGTGCATGAAAAACTTGTTTGGCTTGTTGTCTTTGGGACTAATGACGGAGTTGGCAAGGCTTTTCTAAATATATCAAGCAAAGCATCAAATGATTTGATAGACCAGCCAAATCATATATTGGGTCCTTTTCCTATGAACTATGTTCTTTCTAGACTTGTCCATATGCTATGATAAAAGAATTCATGAAAAGAGTATAAATGTATAATGACAGTGATAAAATTTAATAAAACTCAAGTGGGATCGTTAAATTAAGCAATAAGTTAATCTAAACTTTGTATATGAGATGGAAACTAAAATGTACTACTAACTTACAGATCTATTAAAGATAAACTAGCATGCAAAATAGTCTAAACTATAATCCGGAAGTTGTGAGGTTTAATAACTCTTTTATGTTATACATGTAATTACTTATTGAGGCCATCACATATTTCATGACTCTTAAATAAAGAAATATTGCTTACAACATATTTATCTGTGTACATGCCTTGGAGAGGGGGGAAATCATGAAAAAATATCAATAAGTTACAAAGCCAAAAGAGATAATATCCCTTTAGAATGCTTTGCTT